TATATATATATATATATTCAGTTAGAGTTGACCTACAATATTATACAACATCAGCTGCAGGCATACAGTGCAGTGTGTCATTATTATTTACAAATGACCTCATTCTGATTTCATTGAAGTCTATCCAATGCAGGTTGTCCAATGCTATGTATTCTCTTTTTTTTAAATCTCAAGTTGTCGGTGTTCTCATTGTCAACAGACCTGTAGTTTGTGAATAAAGCCTTCTCTTTGCCAAGGCAACAGGCAGAAAACAGGGTCTAGGAGAAGCAGTGGGGACAGCAGTGCAAAGCATGGAAGCCCAATCAGGGGCGTTTCACTCTCATTGGCTCTGACGAGTCACATGACCTTGGATAAGTTACCGATGGTTTCTGGCCTCTGTTTCCCTGTTGGGTCATCCTGGGATGATGATGGTCCCCATTCATGGTGCTGTTTGGACGAGTCAATGAGTTTATATGTGAGGAGAGCTGGCCTCCCTGCATTGCATATGGCACCCAAGAGAAGTCAGCATTTTTTCTTCTTCCTTTTTTTTTTTTTTTGGGTTTCTTTTTTTGTTGCTTTGTTTCATTTTTCAATTAATTGATTAATTAGTCATTTTTTAGTGTGTTTTTTTCTTTCTTTCCAATTGCTTACTTCATCATGACTGTGGAGCTCTAGCACGCTCTCCCTTGCTGGAAAGAGAACTCAGAACTCAGGGCGTTCCAGGCCAAGGGCGATATGGCCGTGGACGCCCTCACGCCCGTCTCATTTATTCCACAGGATCATCGACGGGCATGACCTGATGCCCTTGCTCCTAGGGCAACGCCAACGCTCCGAGCACGAGTTCCTCTTCCATTACTGCAACGTCTACCTGAACGCCGTGCGCTGGCACCCGCCCAACAGTGAGTACGCAGACAGCCCCCTGCCCCCCGTGTTTCTCGTGCTTGTGCCATCGCCACCATGCCCGTCTATGATATTGCAAGAGGGCTTTGCTGCTCAGAGGCCACGGGGCGCTTCAGGGTGCGACTGGGCTTTGCTTTGAAGCCTCCCTCCTGCTCCGCCTCTGCTGTCTTATTGCTTCTGCTCCCATAGTTGTCCAGGGAGGATGTCGGCAGACCTTGGCATTCACCCACGTTTATGCCAGGGTTGGCTCCTGCTTCAGGCAGAGAAAGCTCGGGTGCTCAGCAGGGCACGTTGCCCATCCTCCCTGTGCCACCAGCTGCGTCTCCTGGCGTTTCCCCCTCACGCTGAGCCTTAGCCCCTCAGCTCCGCGCTTGGCTGAGCTGTGCTTGCAGCTTCCCCCACCTGCAAGGACCTCCCTTCACGTCTTTCCTGGGTAATGCTGATCAGCGCCCCCAGAGCGCCTCTGAAACGCTGCACCCTCTGCCTGCTCTCCAAGCGCTTTCTGCCAACGTGTCGCTTTGGGCTGTGGGGCTGAATGCTGTGGATGGAGATGCTTTAACTTTCCGTCCCGCGTCTCATCAATGTGTGCTTTGTCACGGATCGTGGGGGCTTCCTGGACTTAGGTCTTTCCGACAAAGTTTCAATACGTTGACGTTGTCCTGTTTCCCAGGCGTTCTTCAAGTTGTGCCATCTATCAGCGGTGGGATGTGTTTGGGTTTTCCGATACCAGTTTTAGAGTCGTATTCTAGTGAGCCCAAAGGTACGAGTGGAACCAACGGATAACCCTACGTGTAGTGAAACATTTCAGATTTTTTTTTNTCGTTCCCTTACATTTAAATACAACCTCTTAGGATACTGCCAATGGTTTCTTCCTAAGTGTTATTACCAATCTGAAGAGTTTTAAGGGAAGTACGCTGATTAATTGTTTTCATTAGTTTGGTGGCAGGCAGGCGAATGTCACACGGGCACATCGTGTTTATCTGCAGCTGCCAGCAAAGAGGAAAGGAAGGGGAACCCGGAGATGGAAGCTAAGGCCAGGGAGGGAGAGAGGTTTGCTCACTTTCCAGGGTTTGCAAGCTTGTTGCATTTTTTGTTTTTATTTATTGTTTTCAGATGTCTGCTGTAGGTATACCTCCCTGCTAACACACACACACACACACACACACACACACACACGCACATGCACACACACGCGAGAAAAGCAGACTTGTAGGATTCAGCTGTTTTCCAACTTTGTGGTCTGAACACCCATGTACACATGTGAATGATCGAGGAACCCAGAGGTCTTTGGTTTATGGGGGCTGTGTGTGTCAACGTGTGTCAGACTAGCAATTAAACCTGAAAAACAACTTTAAAACACAAGTGCACCCACGCGTACATTCCCTTAGCTGATAGCATGAGGATTTCCTCACCGGCCACGTGGGGCACTCAGACCATGCCCTGTACGCTCCAGATACGGTGGTGCAAAAGTGGAAGCACGTTCTCTATTGTTGGGAAAATGGCTTTGGGCTCGTGGGCCTCCTGAGAGGGTGTCAGGGTTTCGGGTGGGTCTCTGGACCCCACGTGGAGAGCAGCTGGTGCTGTGGATAAGAGCGTAGATCCTAGAGCTGTCCCGCTTGGGTTCTGACCTTGCATACACTGCTGGTGAAGTGTTGACGTACTCAATCCCTTGTCTGTAAAATGGGCTCATTCCCAGCACTGACCTTCCGGGGTTGATATGACGATGAAAGGCATCTGGGTAATGTCTTCATCTCTACATCCATCTACAAATTTGATACACAAAGAGCTACTCTTGAGAAAATAGCCGTTAACTCTTTCCCAGCCAGATTGGTGGAAGTCAGCTCTCCCAATTTCTTGCTTGAGCAAAATTAAGTTCACGTTTCTCAGGAGCATAAACGCGCTCAGAGGGCTGGACCAGAGCTGTTGGACACGGACTTCCAAGGTGCACTCACTTCTTTCTGCATGTTTTGTCAGAACAAGGGGGTCTCTGTTCCAAGACCCCTAGCTTTCCAGTACAGCCTTGTCATTCTCAAGAAGTGTTTCGTGTCCAGTGGGTGCCTTTTCTCATGCATCAGAGCTTCAGTGAAGGGTATGACTTAGGAAGAAAGACCAGTGGATTGGGGGTGCAGACAAGAGATCTTTGCAGAGCCACAATGCTGCTGTGAGAATAATTCTCTCCTTCAACCCCGTGGCGTGCCACTCTCTGCAGTGACGTTTTCCCTCCTATGTACTTGAGTGATTCGGTTGTATTTTCTGGCAGGGTTTATCCAAAGGACTTTTGGTGGTCATCACCCTGGGCATATTCAGAAAAACCATTCTCCCTATATCTTCACATAAGCTGATTCTAGACATAAATGGTAGGCAATGTGTGTGTGTGTGTGTGTGTGTGTGTGTGTGTGTGTGTGTGTGATAAAACAGGCAACAGGGACTTACCGAAAGAAGTGTATAATACCTAAGTGTAGGGATTCATTAAATTGAAACACCTGTCAGTCTCATCTTTGCAAGCAGATCGAATATTATCCTAGTAAGTCTGTGACCATGCAAACAATGGCAACATGCTATCATTGGTCAAACTTTTAGAAAACATCTAAATTCTGGCCATAGACCATTCAGCTGGGAGGCAAGGGAAGGGGGGTCCTGACAGTCTCAAGAATCAAATTCTAGAGGTTCACCTCTTCTTCCATAATTAAAATAAAATTAAGTTTGATTGCATTTTTTTCCCCACTCTAGGAAAATAAATCAGTGTTTTAATGCTCGACGTCACTTTTGTCTAATGAAGATGAGGAATGTGACTTAGTTCTCCCAGTAAATCTTGCTGATGTATAGCTAGAGGCATAGACCTCTTCAGGAGAGCACTGCAGATGAAACAGCTGCTGAGCTGTATCTAGTTCACCTCTGGTTTGCAGAACAAAAAAATGAAACTCTTCCTGTGCGTGCAAGCACTTGTGACTGGTCTTGCTTTACATGCAAATATGGTGGCATGTTTGATGTGGACGAATGGAAAGCTTTTTTAAAAGACTTTCTGCACACTTGGAATTCCCTTTCTTTTATTAAAGATACACATACTTTCTCCTAAAAATATTTCTTTCCCTATTACTTTCCACATTGAAAAGCAAAAATCACTTTATTTTGAATATCGCACAGGTAACACAGACATTGTGCCCCAAGCTGACCTCTTTATCAAACTTTCTCTTCTGTGACTCCCCCAAACCTTTCCCTGCTTATGTGATCCCCAAATCCTCCTCAGAATGGACCAGGAAAAGGCAGGTGGGAGGGACATTCCAGGGAGAAGGGGTCACTGGTTCAGAGTTGAGAGAGAGAACATATTCATGGAAGTCACTGCCACCCAAGGAAAGTCCTCAAAACATGCTTGTTTCAGTTACATAAAAGTCCCGCCCAGGCCCTAGAATTCGGAGACCAGTTGTTAACACCGCTAGCATTGTCCTGAGTGTAGAACCCCAGGGGATTAATCTCCCCTTCCAAAATTAGAAGCAATCTCAAACGAACACATGTTTTCACAGAACCGAGCAGACCCCTATGCAGGAGCTCGGGCAGTTTTGTAGCGGCGACTGTCGGTGCGAACCTGGTATGACAACCTGAATGTGTCTGCAGAAAATGTCACTCAGACCATCCCCGTAGAACACAGGGAGGGTTTTCTGTCGCTCGGGAAGTGGCTGGGCTCCTGTTTCGCAAATCACAACATTATAAATACGTTTCCATACCGGCCAGGTCAAGGGACGTGCCATCTCCGAGTTACTGCCACCTGCACGTGCGGGTTGAAAACAATCCCGAGTATTTTGATAGCTTGGACACCATTGAAAAGTTTGGCTCCAGAGGTTCGCTTCCAATTTTTCACGGCAGAAATGAGCCCCTCTCTGTGACAGCCTCATATTTCTTGAGCGCTGTTCAGCGGTGGCTTCCATGGCAGCTTGATTTATCGCTTGCTTCTAGGAAAGAGCACGTTAGGTGTTGGATATTAAAAAGAGAGAGCTCTATCTCTGCATTTGAAGAAAATAAAGTTTGCAGAATAGACTTTGATTCCTTCCTTTAAAAATAACCTTAAATCTTTTGCTTTTAGGTAAGAAAAGAAAATGGTGACCCTTAGAGTCTGATTTTTTTTAAAAAAATTAAATCCCCCTTTGTAGTATTACAACCCGGTCTACTGATCAAAGACTAGTCTTAAGGAAGCAGTTGCATCTCCTGGGTTCTTAAATCAAGTGTTGTGTTTTGTTGCTTTAAGACAAAAAAAACCAAAAATGCTTCAAAAAATAGAGGTAGGTATTTGTATCCAAAACATGGCAATTCATTCTTGCTTTTCAATAGTCATGGGGGAGCCTTCTCTGCCTGTGAGGAAAAGATACAGAGGTGGGTTGGAATTNGAGCAACAGCAGTTCAATGCCCGGCCCTAGCTGAGCTGCCGCTGAGCTGCCAACAGGTGGCAGGATGGCTCAGCTAAAAAAAAAAAAATAGAATTGGGGGCTAATAGGCTTGTTATTACCGGGATATCATGGAGGACTGTTGTGATGATTAAAAAGCCATCGTAGGTGAAGTGTTTCTAAGTGCACCTGGTAGATGCCCCGTGTTACTATGATCCACTAGAGTGTAAGACCTCTCGTGGTAGGTGTGTTATTTTGGTCCCATCTTTACCCCCAGAATCTATCACAGTGTCTGACATGTTTTCAGAACTAATTTCTGATGAGAAACATAAATAAATAAATAAAAAGAAAAGAAAATACTTGAGCTTGAATTGGAAGGCTAAATAGTTTCGCCAGGTGGAGAGGGGGATGGGAGAGCAAGGTTGCCTTGGAAACCCATTGATTGGCAGTTGATTGGATGTTGGGCTTCAGGGAAAGGAAGACGGCGTCAGAGCTGTGTCTCGTTTTGGGCCGTGTGATTAGGGAGGCAGCGGCTCCCTTAGGAATGAGACCTGTGTCGGGTCGGCAGGTGGGGAGGTGTTTGAGAATTTCGTGGAAGAGGAGTGGAGGGTGAAGGACCAAGC